CTCCCCTGCCTCCTGATTAATGGAGTTTATTTCGCTCTTTGACATAATTGCATGTGTAATTTTGAGAATTAAATGAACCCCACAGAAGGTAGGTTTCGAGTTCTTCAAAAATTCCTACTGTTAACATCAATGGGAGACAGGAAATAGTTTTGCATACTACTGTTTGCACAAGGAGATGGAAAGAAAACATTATCTAATCAACAAAGTGGGAAAACAAGATTTGGACAGATACGCACAACAATCCTATCACTTCTGCCCAAATATTGTATCAAACCATCTTTTCTGGGATAACAATTTTGTCAGTCCAAGAACACATTAGCTCAGTCAGATCTGGACTCTCCCCCAAGGTTTTTGCCAGCGGCTCTGCTTACTGGTAAATAAGCAATGAGATTTTGCCCAGCAACCCCACCTTAGAAAGGCAGCTGGATCCCGTAAGTGGTGGGAGAGGTGGGGGCAGGGCGAGGAAAGCCATGCCCGCCTCTCAGGTCCCTCTGCAGCGGGTTCCTGATGTCACCAACATGATCTGCAATTCTTGGCAGTTTCAGAAGGATGATCAAGATCTAGGGGGAAATTAATTGAAAGGCAAATAAAAACTGCTTTCAAGCTTGTGAGCTAAAACCATCTGGCAGCTCATTCTGGAGTCAGCATAGAAGAACCAATGAAGACTTTTCTCTTATTGAAAATGAAGTAATTACATGAGAAAGTGTATCCAGGAAGGGACGACCAACAGTGACCTCCTAAGCTAAACAAAGATGATCTTAAGCCAGCCCTGAGGGAACATGCCTCAATAGCAAAGGGCAGCATCCAGTCTGGGACTGTCCACATCGAAGGAGAAATATTTGAACTTTTACATAAAAAACAGTTGCCCTGGATGGTGTGCTCAGTGGTTAGAGCGCCAGCCCACACACCAAAGGGTGATAGTTTTGATCCCTAGTCAAGGGCACATACCTAGGTTGTAGATTTGATCCCCCAACCCGGTTGGGGAGAGTGCTGGAGGCAACCAATTGATATGTCTCTCACATGTCGTCTCTCTCTCTCTCTTTCTCTCATTCAGCCTAAAAAATCAATGGGAAAAATAATCTCAGGTGAAGTTTAACAAAAAATAAAGACAGCCATAGCGATCATTGAGCACTTAGCGAGCACTGTGCTAAGGGCTGGCACACTTACGTAATCTTCCAAACCGTCCTATGAGGGGGATCCTCTTTCTCCACGGAGATAAGATGCACAGAGGAGTTGAGACACTAATTGGAGATCGCTCAGCTATTTAGCAGTGGGGACGGGATGTGTCTAGGCAGGCAGTCTGCCCCCAGACTCCAGGTCCTCAAACACCACTTTACAGTATATCTAACAGTTGCAGGGCCAACCAGACTAAGAAGCCCAAGATCTCCGAATGAAATATAAGATTGTCTATGATTCTATCCTGAAAGCCACCGTTTCAAATGTTCAAATAAAGCAACTTTTTAAAAAAAATATCTAAAGGGCAGAAAGAACACGAATATCTAGAATAACATATATTGCTAAAAACCCTACACCCACACCTCTTCCTTTTATACTGAAGTATGGGTATTCACATTTACACACACACACACACACACACACACACACACACACACGTGCCAGACACTTGATTTCTTAAGTCCCTAAAACACCCCATGGATTAAATTCTCCAGGCCTCTGAGCATCACCCCACCGTGTCTGGAGGAAGCAGTCCAGGGACAGACGAACTTGTTGGCTTGGGCAGTGAGCAGTGCTGACACGTGTCCCTGGCTCAGAAACTCTCCAGCGGATAGTCTAGGCTTTGTTACACACCTCCCTGTCTGCCGCCAGACCGACCCCATCCCTCTGCCCACACCCTGGAGCCTAAGAGTGTCTCCAGCTGCCTCCAGACTTGCCGTCCTCCTTCCCCGACCTCCGCCTCATTTCATCTGCAGTTGCATTCACATCCTAATTTATACTTAACAGGTGTCTCACAAACATTTAATTCGCTTTAATTTCATTACGCTTTTGAGGAGGATGACTTATAAGTGGGGCGGGGAATGGTGTTCCCGTTGCCGGCAATTAATTAACCTCTGGTAAGATCGCTTTTGGGGCTCTGGATTTTTGCTCATGTCTGCAAACAAAACTAGGCTAATCATAACTACCTTCCTGGATTCTCAGAGGGGCTCAGCTGCCCCCACCGAGTCCTCCTATAATAGCCAATGTGGAAATTCATACAAGGGGTGAAACATTCCCTGGGGTTCTTAGGTAATTTATCCTGACATGATACTTGTGGGGGGAAATGGTATTTCATGTACAGTTTCGAAAATATCAATAAAATATCTTTTTTTTCCCAGATGGCTTTTCTGAGGGATGGGCACGAACCCAATTATTGTTCCCTGTTCTACATACTGAGTGTCCCCTGGGGAGTTAGAGCACATGGCTTTTTTTTAATAAAGAAGGATTGTAGTTTTGTAGCTTTTCTTACGCATGTTTAGGGAATATATATTGATCTGGAAACTGGAGCGTAAATAGTGCTGACTTAGATTGGTGCAGATAATATTCTCCACTATAGCTGTTCTTACTCATTTCATTGCCCCGTCCATTCTGCTATGTTGACTATACCTGGGACTCGGGACCCCAGTCAAGTGGGGCTAATTTTTGGGGGGGTTTGATTACAGGCGAGCACAGCTTCCCCCATCTTCAGCTCTTGTTCATTGGAGCTTTCCAGTGAATAGGCAGCATCGATGTTTCTCCCCAAATATCTGGGAGGAAGAGAAGGGTGGGAGGAAGGGACACAGAACCGTAATCAGCCTTCCCGGCTCTGAGCCCTAGCCATTTCCTTGGCTGTAATTTCCAGGGTGGAGCCACGTGGCCGATGGTAGGAGAATCTCTTAACCATGTCTGTCCTGGGAGACCTGGCCCAGGTGTCATCGCCAGGACTGAAGCTTCAGAATTCCTGAGCAGGTGGTCCAGCCACAATTTTGTATTCTCCTCTCCATCTTCCTTCCCAGAACGGAACTGGGTGGCCTCTTCCTCGTGGAGGCTAGTCTGGTTTCTGTTGTTAGGGGATGACTCTGGCAACTTAGTTTGAGCTGGTGAGTTGTTGAATGACTTGAAAAGCTGTTTCTGGACTCTTTTCATTACTCCCTGGACTGAGTTAATCCCCTCAGAATCCTACTCTCAGCTCTGCCCTTAATTAGCAGCAGCATCTATGCAAGCCCCTTCACCCCTTCAGCTTCTGTTTTTGCAACTGGAAGTGAGGTTTCTGAGTGCACGGGTCCCTGCACTCTGAGCTGTCTGCCTCCTAATTCACCGGGAGGCAATGGCTGGAGGAAAGATCACCTGGTAAGGATTTCCTGCACCGACTGCCCTCCACGTGGTGGACTTTTGCAGAAAATCAATCCAGGAAATGTGGCAAGGCCCGGGCACTCTGGTGTTCGCTATAGATTTATGACGGCATATTGTTTTGGTGAGGTTATTAAACTAGGGTCTCCCGAAGACAGTCTCTGGTGCCAATTCCGGCAGCTTTGAGGCCTTCGGGATCATTCAGCTTGGAGGCAATGCCAAGGTTTTCGGTGTGTATTCAAGAGGAACACCACTGACGCCTCTAACCCACCTCTGGCCTCCATCAGCGTCCTTCCCCTTCCAAATGCACTTCAACCTCTTCACTATTGACTCCTTCAGAAGCTGATGTGAGCTGACGTGCCCGCTACCCATTTTAGACAGTGACCCTGCCATCCGGATTTCAACTCCTGCCCCGACCCTTGTGGGCGATACAGCAGCAAACATGACCACAGCACCAGCTCAGACACATGTATTTAAAGGAAAAGTATAACTGTCCAACCTCAGCCGGGGAAAAAGGGTGAGGACACACGCAGGGACTTGCCTAGGGTCTGTCACAAATGTGAATGGGGATGGCTGTGTTTTTTCTCTTCAGCCCAACATTCTGGCCTGTTTCAGGTCAGTTTTTATGGTGTTGTGTTTTGTTTTGTTTTTTTAGAGGGGGTGGGAGGTTAGCAGCATCATCCCCTTTTCTTTAATATATTTTATTGATTTTTCACAGAGAGGAAGGGAGAGGGATAGAGAGCCAGAAACATCGATGAGAGAGAAACATCGATCAGGTTAGGGCAGCATCATCCCTTTGACACAAGGGAAACCAGGGAGAGACCCTCACCAGCACTGTGGAGAGCCCCAAACCCGGCCGCCATGAAAACTGGCAGCAAGCCCCTCTTGGGAGTTCGTTACGTTTTCCACCAGTGAGAAGGGGAGACAACGTCTGGCTGCACTCATGAGCCACACAGAGGGCAGCTGAGGTCTGAGCCCAGTGGGCTTCCTTGGTCGAGTCCATGAACCCGCCTCCTGGAGCCTGGGAAGCACGCAGAACACCTGAAAACACCTGCGTGTGCATTCTTGTAGGGGAAGGTCCATGGCTTTCATCAGATTCTCTCACAGCTGCCCCAGGCCAAAGAGAGGTTAAAAGCCACTGACAATTTTGCTCATTAGAATCCACACATGAGTGAAATCATATAGTACTTGCCCTTCTCTGACTGGCTTATTTCACTTAACATAATGCTCTCCGGGTCCATCCATGCTGTCGCAAAGGGTAAGATTGACGAACAAACAAAACAGAAACGGACTCATAGAGAACAGACTGACAGCTGTCAGAGGGGAGGGGTGCGGGGCAGGGTGAAAAAGGGGAAAGGATTAAGCAAAAAAAAAAACTCAGACAGACAACAGTATGGTGATTATTACAGGGGAAGGACGGAGGGAGGGGGAGGTAGAAGAAGATGGTAAAGGGTGGGGGGCAGTAAAGGATGATGGGAGGAGACTTGAGATGGTGAACACACAACATACAGATGATATATTTTAGAATTGAACACCGGAAACCTCTATGATGTTATTAACCAATGTCACCCCAATAAATTCCATTGTTAAAAAGCCTCCGACAGAATACATTTTCTTCTGTATCTCTGGCTCCAGGGCGATGAAACTGACTTGTCATTCTCCTTTGCTGTTCCCAGAAAAAGCAAGTGAGTCAGACCAAGATCCGGGTCATCTCCACCATCCTGTTCATCCTGGCCGGCTGCATTGTGTTTGTGACGATCCCTGCCGTCGTTTTCAAATACATCGAGGGGTGGACGGCCCTGGAGTCCATTTACTTTGTGGTGGTCACTCTCACCACGGTGGGCTTTGGCGACTACGTGGCAGGTGAGCACCCCGGGCCTCCCAGTCACCAGGCCCCCCGTGGGTGGTGGAGAGATGGTTGGCAGTGCTTTTCAACACCATGAGCAAAGGAGTTGTGAGAGAAGCGAAAGACAAAGGCCCAGTATCCCCGCTGCTGCGCACGGGCTCATTTCAAGGCCGCGGTCCTCTGTGATCTAAGCAGCATCAGGCTCCTGCCATGAGAGGGCAGGCAGCCTCTTCCTCCCAGGATGCATAGCGCCCTTATCGTCATATGAATTATGCATGAGTGCAATGAATTTCTCATTGAAGTTGGGGCTTCTGAATTGTATTAAGGCTCCTTGGACCCATCGATAAAGGCTATATTAGCAAGCAGCAAATGTGAAACCCTGGAGAGATTAGCACAGAGCTGAGCCCGCAAGGATCTGCAGCTTAGGCTTCCTGCCACACCTGAGGTGAGGGCCATTGTCCCTGCAAAAGCTGTCCAGGGTGTGCCCACAGGGCTTAGGACTCAGTTGACAACCGAGAGCTGAGAGCTGCCCGCTGAGGGAACAGAGTGTTAACAGATTCTGCCTGAATGTGGACAGGAGCAATAGCCTTCGGTGTGAACATAAATGCCCAGGGGCTAGGTTTATGGAAGCCAAAGAAAACCACCATCACTTTCCTCTAGGGACAGAGAGGGCTGAAAATGAGGTGGGACCCGGCCTCTTACAAGTGCCTACCACTTTCCCAGAGTGTGGTAGGAAGGCAGGAACAAGAGGAGGAGGCCACCCCATCCCCTCCTAATGGGGTAGTTCCAGGGAGCCAGCCCACTGACCGATCCTTCTTTACTCCAAGAAGTGAGTGCTTTGCGTGAACACCTCCATCGTAAGTTCAAAATGGTGGGTGGTCTATGTGGCCTTGACCAGTCCCCAGGTCAGCAGCAGCCTGGACAGCTCAGGGGTGCCCTCCCAGGCTGGCTGTCCTTCATCTGGCATCTGATCCTGGCTGTGCCTGGGCCTCTCCGTGGAGTTTGGTGCCCACGGTGACAGGGACCTGGTCCTTGGGAATCTGGGAGACAGGAGAGTCTGGGGAGGTAGGTGTGGAGGTTCCTCAACAGGTCAGTTCTGTGATACAGATAACCAGCACAGTGACCGTGTAGCTACTGCAACCGGCCAGGCTAAGATTGATGTCCCCGCTGTAGAAATAGACCATTTCAATTTGTCTTCCTTTCTATTGACTAAGGGCTAAGAATTGCAAAGTTGAAGTGATTGAGCATTGTGTATAAAAGCCTGGGAGCCCATCAGTCTTTCCTATGCACAGCGCTCAACCCCTTGTGCAATTCCTCACCTCGGGGGACAGTCCCCTGGTGCCACCTGCCTGGGGGCCTGACACTGGAGAGGAGCCACAGAGAAGCAGAGAAAAGGAAGAGGAACAGTTGTCCAGTTAATTCCTTAGCATCCTCCGGAGCTGGTCTGTGGGGAAACTCACCTGAGGTTCCAATTAAGGCTGTCATGGCAGCTGGCGTTTGGAACCATTTCACAAACATCTTTGCATTCCCTCCAAGCGTAGTTTGCCTCAGAGCACTGTGCTAACCCCGGGCTGCCTGCTAGAAGGCCCCTGCTCTAATATTGTTCAGTTCAATCTGGCCATCTGCTCATCTGGGGCACAGATAACAGAGCCCTGGGAACATGAAATTTTAAAACTTTATGGCTTGTATTTATTTGTGTTAGGCACCATGGACTGTGAGCACTTAGCACAGACCAGCACTTGACCTTACCTTTACTTACCTGGGAAGGGCCTGACCTCCTTAGTCAAACGCCTGGTCCTGTTTCAATTCCCTTACTTACCCTGAGTACAGAGCCGTATTTCCTCTGTCCTGAGGTCGTCACAGATAGGGATCTCTTATCACAGAGCCAGCTGCAATTAGGCCAGACCCTTCTCCAGCTCCCAGGTCCGAAGAATGCATGCCTTAAAAGACCGGAAGCTTTTCACCACCTTTTTGGCAGTGCTCTCAGGGTGACAGGGAAAGATGCCCGGTTGTTTAGAAAGGTGTACTAACAAGAGTGGATGGTTGCTGTGACTGAACAAGGTATCAACTCTATTAAAAATATAACCGGAGCACCAATCACCACGCAGGTCTCAGTGCTGGTTTACTGGGTAGCTGACTCACTACAGGACAGAGAACATGATAGCATTTCACAGCTCTGCCTGGGAGCACAGGGAAACTCTGGACAAGCCGCTGATAAAGAGGGAGAAAGGTGATTAATGTGCTGCTCGATAGCGCACCCTAGTGACAATCCTGTGGGATGATGGTGACTGGACCGGCTAAGGTAAATATTTGCTCTCAGATCCTAGCCCCAAGGAGAAAGCTCAAAAACCACTTAATGTTGCATGAACTCCAGTAGCACCCTAGAGAAAGCTGCGCAGGGTGTGTGTGTGTGTGTGTGTACATAAAGAGGAAAAATAAAGTCAGCTAAACCAAACCACCAACCAGAGGGGGTCTGGAGCCCTTTAGCAATGTTTGGAATTCTAATTCTAATAAATGGCAGTAGCTGTTGAGATCTCATGGGCTGCAAATTGGTAGTTACAACAGAGTCACCGACATGTGAAGTACAGCATAGGGAATACAGTCAATAATATTGCAATAACTATGTGTGGGTATCAGTTGGGTATTAGAAATATTGAAGGGAACACAGTAAAGTACATGATTGTGTGACCATAAATGCACCTGAAACCAATGCAAAATAATATTGAAAAGAAGCCATGATTGGAAAAAATATTTGAATATATTTTTATTGATTTCAGAGAGAGGAAGGGAGAGGGAGAGGGAAATAGAAACATCAATGATGAGAATCATCATTTGGCTGCCTCCTGCACGCCCCCTACTGGAGATCGAGCCCGCAACCCAAGCACGTGCCCTGACCAGGAATCGAACCATGATCTCCTGGGTTGTGCATTGACACCAAACCACTGAGCCACACTGGCGGGGTGAAAAACATTTTTTAAGTGGGTTTGGTTGCATTGAGAAGAACCACAGGCCATAGCACCTGGCCTGCTGCTGCTATGATACCGTAAAGAGTTCAGTATGGACTCAGCGATCCAGATGAGGTTACAACCATGACCCAGTGAGAAAGACTAGTCATCACTCATCGTGTAATAGCACAACTACCGGTACATAGCTAATGCCAATTGTTTTAGGAATCACCGCCTGCCTGGTTCATTGGGTAACACATCTCACAGAGTGAGAACGAGCCTGACATCAATTATTTCATGGAACGTCCCCACTTCTTTCAGTGGGGGGGCTGGGCTTGGAACCTATTTTGCTCGGTTGCCTTTGGCAGTCCCTGCAGGAAGGCTAGAATAAATAGGCTTATTATTTAGAACAAATGACTGGTCGGTTCAACGCAACAACCACTCAATGCAATCAGGCAACTGGCCCATTTGGGTTGATGGATTTTTCTGGTAATCTCTATTTATAACTAAGGGATTGACTAGCTGGCCTTAAAGGTCCCATTTAGTTCTAGCGTGGCTGTGGTGGTTCTAATTACTCAGTGTAATTGACCCTTTGGATTAGCACCATGAAAACAACAGCCTCAGCATTAAATCACTATGGCTTGCATCAAAGTGTCAGGGATGCCATAAAGTCTAAATTTGCACTTAGCTCTTGGTAAATGCGTGTGCGCTTAAGAAGGAAACGGTTTCATGACTTCCAAACCATGAGGGATAATTAAATGGTGTGTGTTTTTATTTGTATTACATTTAAAGAAGTTTAAGAAAAAAGCAATTGACAACTGGGCCTGATCTGTTGTCCTCTAGCTCTAGTCATTCACTGGCAAGCTCAGGGAGAGAACAGGTGGATCAAGCTGGCCACGGGCATATTTCTGCTGTGGGTACTACGGTTAGTGGTCAAGAATCACAGGGAGTTCAGCCACAAGTCAGGCTCCTTTAAGAACAGGAACATCTTTTCCTTGTCTTCCAACCCCCACCACATCTCCTGTACAGCAGGCCTAACGTCTTGGTGTTAGATGGTGATGGGCTGGCATCTCCGCTACATGGACCAGAATATGTTTGCTCCGCAAAGACCCCGTGCTAGACCCTGCTTCCAGTAACGTTTCCTTGTTTTCAGGGGGAAATGCTGGCATCAATTACCGGGAGTGGTATAAGCCCCTCGTGTGGTTTTGGATCCTGGTTGGCCTTGCCTACTTTGCAGCCGTCCTCAGTATGATCGGAGATTGGCTACGGGTTCTGTCCAAAAAGACAAAAGAAGAGGTAGGACCCCTTCCAGTTTCTCCGAATGTTCCTGAGATTAGATGAGCTCGTGTCAAGAATCTCCTCTCTCTGTTCTGTGGGCTGGAGTGTTTCTTACTCAATGGAGGGCTCACAAGGCTTCCTTGTTTGGGATCATTACCTAAAAGCCAAGTGAAATTGAATAGCAATTACTTGCGGATCCTTTTTTGGCAGGTGAGGAAATGTGGTGACTCAGTCAACAGCCCACAGATCCTGCAAAGAACAGTAAACAGCAACTTCGTTTTAAAAAAAATGGAATGAAAAGGAAAATATAGAACTCGTCAGCAGAGGGAGACTGTGGTCGAGGGAGATGTGCAATTGCCCCCTATCAGCAAATGTATGGGGAGGCTTCGAAAAATCATAAAAAGCTTCAGAAAGCCCGCCTGTCCCTCAGGTCACAAGGCCTGAATGGAAATGCACTTGAACATCATGAATCTTCCCTGATTCCGAGTGAGACTGAAATCACTGAGCAGCGGCCAGCCCCGGGGAAGCGAACCCAAGGGGCCCCTTTCACCTGTACCCCCTCCTGGTGGTCCCATCTGTAGAAAGAAGTATACCCCAGAGCACGCAGCCTTGACTCCCGCAGCTAAACGTGCGTGCAAGCTACACAAAGGCGAGAAAAGGAAAGTCTGGGAAAGAAAGGTAGATTCTTTGTGAGTTTAAAAAACAAAAGTCCATGTAGTTCTTCTAGGAAAAGGGGAAAAGGAATAAGAAAGGAGGCGGCAAGGGAAGGGGAAGGTAAGAAGCAAAGAAAGGAAGGGAGATTAAAATAAATAACTAGATAGATAGATAGATAGATAGATAGATAATAGGGGCAGCCTCTTGAAGAAAGCTGTGTGCTCCCAGGTACAGCCATTCTGTATGCAAGGCTCCAGGAGAAGGTTGCTGAGTGGAGAAACTTGCCCTCTCACTCCTGGGCACAATGTCATTCTCCTGGCCTCCAGAACCCTAGCAATGCAGTCTCCGCCCAGCCTGAGCCCCCAGGTATCTAACTGGCCTGCTAACAATCAGCGATAACGAAAGAGAACGTACCACATACACACTGACTTTCCTCAGTGCCGAAATCTGAGTTCCTCGTCCGTCCGTCTAGGAAAACATGGGACTTGTGCTATTTGCCGTGCTGAGTAAGAGCCCAGAGATCTGATGATGAGCTTCATGCAGAACTGGACTCTGAGCTCGCCCCCTTCCTGCTCCCTCACCGGGGAAATTTGGTTATCCGGTGCCCTGGTGGGGGTCTTCTTAAACCAGGATGAGCCTGACAGCACATGGCCACAGCATGGCCCACATGCAGGGCGACCACAGTCCCAGCTTGCCCAGGGCTGAGGGCGGACCTAGGATACAGGACTCCCCCTTTGAAAATCAGGACAGTTCCAGGCTGACTGCTCACCCTCCCCAGAGAGGCGTCGGAGGGACCGGGAAGGGCAAAGGACTTTCTGAACATCTGCTCGGTGCCCAGGACTGATCTAGTGCCCGTCTTTCTCTGACATAACACTAAAAACCATCGGCTAGAGGTGACTACCCCAGTAATGCCCCAGGAATGAGACCACCCTGTGAAAAAGCGGTGTTCACATCACGGGAACCCTGTGGGCCTGTCCAACTCAGCCCGCTGCCCTCTCCCCACAATGCCGCCCGCCTCTCTCCCCCGGCCCATCTCCAAACCCCAAGCCTCCCTTGCTCCCCAGCACAAGCCCCTCCCTGAGCCACATCAGCCAGGAGCCCATTAGAGATGGTACTTAGAGGGGAGAGATCAGGGCAGAGGCAGCCTCCACCCCCGGCCCTGGGCGTTTGCAGCGCCCTCTCTGGGCCTTCGCGTGGGGGACACCCCAGGGCGGTGCAAGGCCCACGCGGCCGAGTGGAAGGCCAACGTGACGGCCGAGTTCCGGGAGACGCGGCGGCGGCTGAGCGTGGAGATCCACGACAAGCTGCAGCGCGCGGCCACGCTGCGCAGCATGGAGCGCCGGCGCCTGGGCCTGGACCAGCGCGCGCACTCGCTCGACATGCTCTCCCCCGAGAAGCGCTCCGTGTTCGCGGCGCTGGACGCCGGCCGCGGCAAGGCCTCCTCCCAGGAGAGCATCAACAACCGGCCCAACAACCTGCGCCTCCGCGGGCCCGAGCCGCTGCACAAGCACGCGCAGGGGGCCTCCGAGGACAACATCATCAACAAGTTCGGGTCCAGCGCCAAGCTCACCAAGAGGAAAAACAAGGACGCCAAGAAGGCCTTGCCCGAGGACGTGCAGAAGATCTACAAGACCTTCCGCAACTACTCCCTGGACGAGGAGAAGCGAGAGGAGGAGACGGAGAAGATGTGCAACTCGGACCACTCCAGCACGGCCATGCTGACCCACTGCGCGCAGCCGCCCGCCGGGGTGGAGAACGGCATGGTCCCCGCGGACACCAAAGACAGGGAACACGAGAACAACGCGTTGCTGGAAGGCAGGAGCTAAAGGTTCCGGGACACCGGGCTGGAGGAAGCGTTGTGTGTTTTTTTTATATTCACCCCGAGACACGTGCCTTAAACAGACTTCTCCTTAGTCCAAAATTACATAGCATTGGAGAATATATTTCACTGTGCCATAAAGGACTGAGGAAGTTTGCTCTGCCAAAAGGAATCAAAGAACACGGACTCCGCTTCTGATGAGCGACCGCCGGACGCCCGGGGAGCGTTTGCACACGTCGGAGGTCACGGCCACCAAGTGTCAAGGCCGAGTGGCCTGGTGGTGCTGTACCCCTGGGCAGCGCCGCCCTGGAGGGCACATAGACAAGGGCAGCTATTCCCTAGACCAGCCTTCTGAGAGAAGCAGGTGTGTCTTTTACACGGAGTCTCGCTTCCTGAGCCTACCGCCCGTGATGTATGCACACCCAGAAGGACACCGGATTGGGGGCGACCTGGGACCGGTAAGGAGGGTTTGAGTTGACATTTGGGCGTGTTGCTCTGAGCTTGAATTCTGATCCAAGCCACGCAGTGCATCCCTAGCCCTTCTCAGCGCCAATGAGTGCGTGCGGGGCCTGAGAGCTCCCGGGATTTGTTGGAAGCGGATCAGAGCACACGTATTCAAAGGTGCAGTTGCTTTCCTCATCACAAAAGAAGAAAAATAATCACAAACATCACACTGTGGATATCACCTCAACCAAGGCCAGAAGCCTACTGAACTTGGCCTTTCTCACGGGGGTAGGTAGTCCGAACAGACTGGCAGGCCTTGGTGAAACTTCAACCTCAACCGCTGCGTGGTTACAGGCAAAGAATCATGCATTTTCCTCAGTGGGTGCAATGGTGAAATAAACTGGTTTTGAAATGTTCACGTTCACTTTTCTAGTGGAACTTCGGTTGTAACCTGTTTTGATGAGAGGGGGGAGAAAGTACCAAAACTAATTGCCTTGCATGATGCCAGCGGCTTGCTGTTCTGTCTAGCTGATCCTAAAATTTTATAAAAATAGGCATCCTGCATGTCTGAGACACACCAAGGGGGACCATGGCATCATTCCATCTCAGGGCTTTTTGTCCCTTGGGGTGTCTTAGGGTAGACATAGTTACAAGAGCCAATCTTGCTATCTCCAAACAGGAGGAAAACTAACCCCTCAACCAACCCTTGTACAAGAAAACGGAGTCGTTTTTGTTTGCAGTTTAAGTGCCATTAATGCCATTTTAAAAAATAATACTTAAAAGAAGTATTTCAAATATTTTGCCTTTACATTTGGGCATTCCTTTATTTTGAAAGCATCCCTTTCCCTTGCTCGTTTCTTTATCCAGTACCTGCTGTTGCAACACCCATTGGAACACAAAGGTGATCATTTCAAGGCAAACAGTAACCAACACGCGATACATAGTTGCTCAGTGAGGCAAGAACCTCAGTGAAGGAAAGTGGGGGGAATAGCTAGTCATATGTTTTGAGAGGAAGACTTTAAATGGATTTTTCCCTGAAAGGGAAAAATATGTACTAGGCCAACCAACCCGTGTGAGCCTCAGCCGTTTCCCTAATTGGCTGGTCCTTGGACTGGTTCAGACTTAGCTACTTGGGCCACACACAAGCATTGGGACCTGGAAGCCACAGGACCTGGATGGTCATGGGCCTCCGCTGCTCAGTGC